GAGGGATGGAGCTGCCCCCAGCGCGGCCCTTGCCGGGGGCGGATCGTCGCGCAGCCCCTGGGGTGTCACGGAGCCGTTTGCCCTTTCCGCGGCTGGGAGGAAAATCCAAAGTCACTGCTGACAGAAAGTGTGGCCACGATAGTGTAGTTAACAGTGATACGAACAAGCCGGACAAAACCTGGGTATTGGGTATTCTCATGTGTCCCAAATACACTGCCATATATTTAATGGAAAGCAATGTGTGAAATACCTACAGCACAGACAGACTTTATGCTGGGTACCATGATGTTTAAAATGCCTTGTGATAATGGCAGATAAACTACTCTTGCGGTGATTTTATGGTTAATGGGACTTTTTTTGCAGCCTTTTGGTATGTCAGCAGGGTTACCCAGACGAAGGTGGGATGATCCACCACATTAGTGAGACAAGCTAGTTGCAATAATAATGCATTTGGGGGGAAAGAGAGGGAGGGGGAAAAGCTTACTGGAAAAAAAAAGCAGCAATTTAAGAATTCCAAAATTTGAAAAATTACCTTATTTTTACTTGTTTGGTTATCAAAAAAGATGCAGAGATACTTAATCGAGATATGGAACAGCTTGAAGCAAAAGACATACCTGACAGATGAAATCTGCTCTACTCAGATACTTGAGGTCAATGGGCAAAATTGAAACGTGCAGATCAGACATACAAAATTTTGACAACACCTAGTAGCAGGACGTGGGATGTGGTAGGTTCTCTGTTGTTGACATCTTAAGAGTAAGGCAGTTATCTCTGAAGAAGTCATGTTCTGCCTAACCAGAAGTAAAAATATTTAAGCAGAATTCCATATGTGATAATACTTTTTTTCATTTTAACTGCTTGATCTTAAAGACGTTTTCTGTTCTTCAGATTGTTAGTGATGCGAATGATGAAACCATGAAATACAGAGCTGGCAGCAAGCTGGAAGGACCTGTTGGCACTCTGGTGGCCAGTATCGGAAGTCAAAATGATCTTAACAAATTAAAGAAACGCCTTGGAACCATCAGGAAGAACCTTAACACCGATAAATGCAAATTACATTTGGGAAGAAAAATTAAAAAGTAAAATCAAAAGGATACTGGTAAAACAGCAGCACTTCAGAAAAAGAATCTGGAGGCTGTAATGGACTATAAAGTAAATATGAGTCAGCAGCCTGCTACCGTTAAAGAAAAAGACAAGGCAGCCTCATTGTGGGGTGTACTAATAGCTGTGCAGTACATCTGACAGGACTAATTATTTTTCTGCTAAGGATTGATGAAGCCAACTGGTTTTGGTCCCAAACCAAGGACAGTCCAGAGGAAAATAACAAAATATTAAAACATTTAGAAAGTAAGACCTATGTGTGAAAGTCGAAAGAACGCTATTTATTTAGTCTGAGAGGACTGAGTGTAAATGGTGTCTTTATACGGAAAGTGTTGCTGTGAAAAGGACAGAGATATTTCATTCTTTCTGGGTTTGGGATGCAGGAAAAAATGAATCAACTAAATTACGCAGAAAGTTCAGATTCGGTGTTAGACAAAACTTTCTAAAATGTGATGGTAGCAGCATTTGGAACAAGATACCTAGTGGGAGTGAGGAATCTCTTCCATACAGAGGTTTGATAGGCAAGAACGTTACAGCTATCCTCTCTCCATTCCTAGGGCAGTGGATTGTATTACAAAATACAGTAAACTTTTTTGCTTCTAGTATATAACTGATTTCTTTCCTTTTATTACTCTATGAATTAATCACTGTAACTGGTGTAAGAGAAACACTTAACTAACTTTATACTGATCTTTTGGTTTCCCTCTTCCCCTAACAGACCTTCTACTTGTTTGGTGCTCTCAGCACTAGCTCTGTTTTTGCTGGTGTATCTTGTAGAGTCTGCCATTAGTGTAATACCCAGAAATGGAAATGGAAACAGATATGTTCCTGTAACTGGAACTTCATTTGTCTGCCCTGTCAGGACTGCTGTGGCTGTTTACTGTGAAAAGCATAGGGCCATGAATACAGCTACCTCCTTCCTTTCCACTGTATCTATTAGAAGACGGAAGAAGAAAAGCAACGGTACGAATAGAGTGGTGGAGAATGAAAGCGCCTGAGTATTTGTAAGCATGTTTGAGAAAGAGAGTGGGAGACCACACAGGTAAAGAAAGAGGTTTTTAACGAAAGAGAGTAGCAATGTGTGAATATGAGTGCCAAGGGAAGAAACAAAGCATACGAAGGACAGAGATGATCTTTGAAGTGAAAAATATAATTCAGGAATGCTTGTGTGAGGGAAGAAATGCCAGCAATGATGGGAATGGGCTTTGAATATTTATGAGTAAGCTGTGGGAAGGAACATACAGGAGTAGGGTCAGAGCCTCAGGGGGTGTGTAAGAAGGTAAAGAGAAATAGGAAAGAATTTAAAACTCCATACATAGGGCTGTTTGTAGATATGTGTGTATGGGATTATGAGAGAGATTAAAGAAAATACAGAAAAAAGCAACAAAAATGAAAGGGTAAGTAAAGAAGGAAGGAAGCAGCAAAATGCAACTGGAAATAAATGGGAGTTTTTTGTTGAAGTACTTGAATGATTCAAGTCCTATACTTTTTATAAGTGTCTTGCAGATTTTTATCTTTATGAAACACCAATATAGTTTTTCTGTTCTTGCCTGTGACAGTTACCAGCAGTAATTAATAAGCAGTGAGCAGGTTTGTTGGGAAGCAAAATTGAAAAACTCAGATTTCCATTTAGTTCTAAAACTTTTAGCCTTTTGGAAAGGCCAGAAGAAGTCTTTCTCCTGGGCTCCCCATCAGCCCATTTACCAGCCAAGTTTCTTAGGCTGTAGAATATGTCCTTTGTGGATGGCTATAGTCACAGATTTACAGTGAATGATGACTGGAAGCAGACACAGAGTCATTAAACATTCCCATGTCCAGCTTCCAAAACAGGGCAAAAATCTTCCACTTTGCTCTATATCAGTTCTGAATAGAAATTAATGAGAGAACTAAAAAAATAAAAATATCACATGCTGTCCTTTCTGCATTTTGTGTTGCTTAGCTGCTGATAGTACCAGCTGGAACTTTTAAAGAGAAGAGAGCTTCATTACATGATATAATAAATTGCAAAGATCGAGTGTAGGTAACATATATCTCACACATCTATATTTATCTCACACTGCTATATTTAGTTCTGGTTTAAAAAAGGTGTTCCAAACACCTGGCCTTTTACTCATGGAATGAGACTTTCATAGATGTGTCCTTATGAATTCTGTTTGACTGTTTGAAAGGCAACAGATGAGTTTAACAGTGTAGGAGGGACTATTGCATTGAGTATGTATTCCTGCCAGGATCACGCTCCCATTGCCTGTGTTCAGGTGTCTATGGTCCTTCATTTACACAAGGTTCACTGTAGGCATGAGGCTATCTGGTCAGGAATTAGAACTCACACTGCCAGTGGACTTTACTGTGTTGTCTTACAGCTCCACCGATGGCTCTATAAAGAACCTAAGTAAAGATAAATATAAATGATGGTGTAAAACCTCACACGCAGTTGTTGTAGGATCACAAGGAAAATTCCTGCAGTCTTAAAAGTCAATAAAATCTCGGGATATTTTGGCTCATGTTTGGTTGCAACTTTTCACACAGAGCGTGAAGTCAGAGAGGAAGAAAGTCTGAAAGAGTAAAAATTAAAAAAAAATGAAGTTATAAATTGAATTTCTGATTCATAGAGCCATAACACCATAGAGTAATTTAGGTTCAACAAGACCTCTGTAGGTCATCAGGTCTAAATGTCTGCACAAAGCAGAGGCAACTCAGGTTATGTTACTCTCGTGCTTGTTCAGGGAACTACAAATCAAGTTAATCTAACCCGATCTAACCAATCATTTCCTAGTCTGC